AAGAAGAGAATATGGCTGTCCATTCTTAGCTGTCAGTCTCAAAGAGAATTTAGTGGGTGTTTCTTACATGAAGCATTGCTTAGCCAAGCTGATCTATGTACTGTATTTAAAATGCTCTCTTATGAGTTATGACCTAATTAGACTTATCTGAAACAATTGTTATGACTCATAAATTAGGAAATATTTTTAAAGTGCAGAAGAAGATTTGAAATTCCTGTAAGTCAAATATTCAGGTTCCAAAAATAAACTCAAGTTATCAGAAATCTAATATTTAAGTGTTAATTAAATCATAATTATTTAAGATCAATGAAATATTTAATAGATATAAACACATTAAATGTTAAATAATATAATGAATAATAAGTATACTGTACTTTCATCCTAATATTTATTTAAATATTTAAAATTTTATACTTATATTGCTATAAAAATAGTTTCATATTTAATATTACATTTATGCAACTACCCTGAATAATTTAATTACTATGAAGCCCAAAAGGATACTTGATTTTCTTGGAAGCCAACACATTTTTTACTTCAATAATATGAATTATTGGCCCAAAAGTGACAAATACAGTTTCATCTGGTGATGCACATGACACAATGTATGATGATTCAGAGTGAAGTGCCACACTGAATGACTGGATTTTGACTTCTAGTAGTTTATTTAAGACAATTTCTGAAGGAATCCTGAATGAGTTGCCACCCGTGGATCTTCTGCACGCAGGACACGGTTATCATGGGGAGCTTCCCTTCTGCCCTCCCAAGGACCTCGGCTGGTCCCATAGCTCCTCTGCCAACCTGGGCAGGGAAGGAGGGAGTCTGAGGCACCTGACCAGGAGCCTCCCCGAATACCGTCTGAGCCCAGGGTGTTGCCAAGGAACTGAAAACTGGGACTATTAAGTTTACAAAACTACAGACATTCCATTGAGATTTAATATCTGTACCCATTATACAGCTGAAATGTAAGACAGTAATTACTAATTCAGATTGGAAGTAAACAAGTAAGTGGAGATGAGAGATTTACATTTTTGGAATAGATATCATTGATTTAAAAGATGGTACACAATTCATTAAAGATGAACTATAAATGGATACTAGTTCATATGTAAGGTTTGGAAAATTAACTAAAAAACATCAAGTTATATCTGGCACAGGTGGATCCACAAATCACTGTTCCATTTGCATATTTAAATGTTTTTCTTCTGCCTGTTTGGATATCATAGGATGTACGACATATCAGCAAGATCTCCCTTTATGCATAATACTAATACCTAAAGCTGAGTGCATACAATGCGTATTAATTTAATTAGGCTTCAAGGTTATGATGCTGAGAGGTCTTACAATTTGTGGTCATTTGACTTGGTCCTTTTTTTGTTGTCTATGTAGGAATTGAGGGTATGAGAATCATCCACGTTTAAATCTCATGACCACGTGGATAGACATGCAAGCGTTTTCTTTATTTCCTGGTTATGCAAAAAGAAGGGAGTGCCCTTTTTAACTGAACATATTGGTAGTTAATTCTGATAGCACATGTGAAAATATAGTGAACTCTGCATTTTGTCAGGGTATAATCCCAATGATTAAGAAGTGATGGAAACCTTCCTTCTTTATTTTATAATAGAAAATGTTTAAGGAATATTTATAAAGGAGTCTAAGTTGTGTTCTCTTTTAAAATAAAACAGATATCACAGTGGATTATATAAAATGTATAACAAAGTAAACAACAAATAAATATAGTAGTGTAATTTAGGGTGATTTAAATGTCTGTTTTTAACCTGAATTTTCTATACTGAATGTGTAGTAATTTTACAGTAAGAAAATAAATAACTTATATTTTAGGGTAATCAGAATTACATATCTGCTTAGATTTCTAAACACCTGTAGCAAAAATAATTCTTATAAAATAAAATTAATGTCTGCACCATCTAAAACTTAGGCATTGCTGTTCAGATTTCCCTGACCCCTATTCTATTGCCCAGTGTTCACCACAGATGGGCCACAGTGAGCCCAGAGGATTATGGGGCATTGGGATGCACTTGGGCTGTTGGAATCCTGGCTAGTGAGCAGCCTCCTTCCTTAGCAAAACACCAAGACACCACCAAAATACCAATCTAAAACTCATGGGTTACAGAGGTAAGTCCTGATCGCCAGATTGTGGCTCCTGCATTTCCATTAGGTATGAGAAGCAATCGTTTGTATTCACACACTTTCCCCTATTGCCTTAGATAGTATTAACATGGAAAGGATAAAGAGGGTCATATATATGGTGACGAAAGGAGATTTGACTTTGGGTGGTAAACACACAATGCAATATACAGATGATGTATTATAGAACTGTACATTCAAAACTTACATAATTTATTAACCAATGTCATCCAAAATATTTAATAAAAAAAATAAAATGTAAAGAATTTGGAAATAGAAATCTCATCTCTCATTGCGTGGAATGCTGTAAAGTAAAGCTCATAGGTGTGATTTTTCTCAAGTTGATGTGACAAGTGTAAAAAATAATAACTGTATTCTGCAAATGAAACTTTATTTTTAAAAAGTGATTCATAAATAATGCCTTCGCATTAGAATGTAAGCTTCAAGAGACTGTTCACTGCAGTATGCCCAGGATGGAGAACAATGGCTTCCATGTGCTAGCCACTAAATAATATTCAAGAGTCATGTTCTCTGACCTTCTGTAGCACTATTGCATCACATGGTTTATAACGCGGCACAAGCTTTTACATGTGGCCACGTTTCTCAACAGTAGACAGCAGAAACCAGGGAGGGACCGTGTCTGTCTTGTATAGCATCATATTCCTAGAGCCTGGCAAATCCTAGGTGCACTAAATTAAAGTTGAATGAATTAAAGAAAGGCCCATATTGTGTCTTATTCATCTGTCATCTTCAGTAAGTAATCTTACAAGGCATGTGGCTTGAGGACCATTGATTACGAACACGCTGGAACAATGCAGACCCCCTGTTGCTGTGTTGAACTCAGAGAATGCTGCAGTGTTAGGCGGAGCTGCCCTGGAGTGCGAGGCAATCTCACAGCCCAGCCTGGCCGCCCTGTGCGTGTGGCTTTGGAGAAAGCCTGCTTTGAGGATGCTATCATTCTTATTAAAGACCAGATGATGCCTTTAACCCCCTCCTTTCAATGAGGGAAGAATATATAGAGAACAAAATTTAAGCTGTACTTTCTGTGGCAGCTCACTAACTGGGGTAGACCTATGCAAACTTGTCCATCACCTATTATTTCTGTGAAATAGTTTCTGGAAAGATGTTTTAAGTTGTTTTGGAGAATACCCTTAATCCCTCACAGCAGTGAGAGGTTAGGTCCACGTGACTGATGCTGGAGAAGCTGGAGTCTGGGAAAGAGTGAGCCTAGCACTCAGTTTTTATCAATTCTTTTTTTTTTTCTGTGAAATACTAACAAAAACCTTCCTCTCTCAGATTAGCAGGACAGCAGTTGACAGGATTTAGAGAAATCTCACTGAACTGAACATCTTACTTTTAAGATGAATTCAAGTTTAAAGTACCAGATCCTGTTCTCTTTCTCCCAGGGTACAGAAAATTCTGCCCCTACTCTGACAAAAGAAACAAAATGAGACAAACTTGAACTCACATTCTTGCTATGTCATTTGCTAACTGTTTAACTGAGGCAGGTGGCTGCCTTGTCCTAAGCCTTAGTTCCTCATTTGTAAAATGCAGACCGCAATGGGAGTGTGTCTCCTGCAGGATACTAATGGGGATTGATTATATAGATATACATATGATGTGTAATGAGGATTACCTTCACAGTCTCTACTCCTTATTATGCATTGCTTAGCACAGAGCTAGAATAGCTACCTCATGTGTGGTAGCAGCAATTAATTCATAGCATTCTAACCATTGACGAGGCTATAAAAACAGAAGTTGACTTAACCTCTGCAGTTTGGTTCCCCATTATCAAATGGAGATAAAAATACTTAATATTACAGTGATAAAGGAATACATGAGAAAAAAAAAAAAGAAGTAACCCACATACGAATGGCAATCATTGTAGTGTTGGTTTATTTTTCTAGTCCAATTTCTGAGTTCAGCCTAGTGATATTCCATGAGAGAAATGAGTAGTTTTGGTGACTGTGGGTTGAAGAAAAGTGAAATTCCTCCTTTTCTGCGGATGTCTGGACTGTCCAAACTGCATCTCGATGAGGTGGTACACCTGAATCATGTGTAGCCCCACAGAGGGGACATGCATCATCTCCCTCACTGCTCCCCATAAACAGGAACACAGTGGTCTTAGTGTTATTTTAATAAAAATCTGGAACTGGGAACATATGTGAGTGTTTTTTCAAAGTGGTCAACTGATGATGCTACAGATGTATTTTAAGAAACCAGCAGCTCCCCTTCAAAGTGATGTCTCATATGTGTATATTTCATAGACACTCACTAAAAATCTTACTGCATTGAATTACAATTAATTTTAAGTGTCATGTATTTTAATTATAAGCAATGTAGTTTTTGAAATTAATTTTATAGGGTAACATAGTTATTGAATATTAATTCTTATGAGCCAAGCATTATCTGGCAACTTTGAGAATGACACACAGTATAGAAAATAATTTGAAAGTTACAATATCTGCCCTTAAAAGTTTTAAAATATTTGAACTGTATGTTACTCTGATGATCTCTGTGAAAACAGGAAAGACACACGATTATTTTCAAATCAATGAGTCAGACAAGGGACACAGCGAAACATATAAGACACTATTCAGAATGCTCACTGTTGCTGTTGAAAATGATCTATGATTGTGAATAATTGCTTTTGAAATACTGATCAAAATTGATCTGTTCAATTTTCTGGCACAGGCTCTGAATGTCAAATCTCACCCTGGAATTACATAAATCAATTGAGTCTGGATTTCTGTAAAAACTGGGGGTGGGGGAGAAAGATAGAAGTAATTTTTGAGTTGTCAGTGACTGATGGATGTTCTGATTTCACAGTTTTAGTAAAGAAAAGGTCTTACCGTAGCTGTCATAGGCATCCTCACTTACTCCATGACCGTAGTCATAGTATTCAGGCACACTGAAACAGATTTAGACAGCAATCAATGTTACTGTAATCAGGAGGGATCAACCCAGAAACGCATATGGAATTTGAAAGTAAAATGTGTGCTGAAGTAGTAGCCCAAGAACCTGTAGGCATAAAACACAATCCTAAAGAAACAGGAAGAAAAATACAGGTTAGTGACAAGGAGTGCTATGATTTTCTCATGTCACCTCAGTACTTCTTTAGCTTTAACTTTCAATTTATACATCAAATTTCCCCTGAAATACAAGTGTGATCTTCAAAATTTGTCAAGAAGAGAGTTATAAAAGATCTGTTTTCAAGAAAAGATGCTATATAAGATGACAATCTGGTCAATAGGGTATGGCTTTTAATGCTGTTACCTTAAAAAAAGCAAAACACTTCAATTTTATCTTTACTTCCAAACACTAAAATTATATTTATACTCCTCTTTAGCCCTTCCACAGCATGTCCATGCAATTCTCAAATATACAAGTTAACATTTTTCTAGATGCTTCTACATTTCAGTAACTGAGAAAAAGGAGTCCTTCTTCTATTTCCTACTGAAGTTACTTCAAGTCTTCCCCACCACAACTGCCATCACTTTGTCCTACAGCAATCGCTTTCCCCATTAAGGCACCATTCCTGTTGGCCTCCAAGCATGTTATAAATCTCCCGTCCTCAAGAAGCTCTCCCTCACCCCGAGATCGTCTAGTGGTGATCTCCGTCTCTGCCCCTTTACAGTGAAATTACTTGACAAGAGGTGACTGTGCACTCTCTTCCACTGCCTTTCCTTTCATACGCTTTTGAAGACATTCCTGTCAGGCTGTTTTCTCCACTGAAATGGCTCTTGTAAATATCTTGACATGTTCCAGTCCAATGGCCAAGATTTGGTTCTCATTTTACCTTAGCACCACTGAACGTGGTTGATCATTTTCTATTCCTTCAGACACTCCCATTGCGTCTGAGATGTTCTCTCTCCTGAATATCCTTAGCTCATTTCACTTCCCCATTCTTCTTACTGGCACCTCTCTGTTTTCAGACACTTAATCCTGAAGACTACTGGGGCTCAATTACTAAATTTGTTTTGTTTTGTTTTGTTTTTTTGCTATTGATACTCCTTAGGCAATCTTATCTGTTCCTATGACTTTGAACCATCTCTACCCTGATGATCTCCAAATTACATCCCCAGCCTTGGCACCTCCCTTCTTCTCTGGTCTCATATACCCAGTTGAATTCTGTAGATTTCCATTGGATGTCAGACTTAACATATCCAAATATTAACAATTTCCCTGGTCAGCATGGCTCTGTTGGTTGGTGCATCATCCTGAACACCAACAGCTGGTTAGGTTCCATCCCTTGTCAGGGCACATGCAGGAAGCAACTAATTGATGTTTCCCTCTCACATCAATGTTTCTCTCTCATTCTTTCTTCTTCCCTCTACAATAAATTTTAAAATTTTGATATTCTTTTCCACTGAGACTTGCTCCTCTTGAGTCCTTCCCAGCTTTATAAATAACACTACCTTATTTAGCATTACTCATGCTAAAAACTGTGGCATCTTCTTCTTTTCTCTCATATATAATGTTCAATCCAACAGCAAATTCTTCCACTTCTACTTGCAAAATATATCCAGAATTTAAATATTTCTAAACATCTCCATTTTGACTGTGGTTAGTTTCACCATCTCTCACTTAAACACAATATCCTTCTAACTGGTCTCTGTGCCCTGCTTCCTCAGTTTCAATTTTCTGAATAGCAGTCAAAGTAATTCTTATAGAATTAAATTAGATCATAGTAGTCCTCTATTCAAAATTCATAGATAGCTTCTCAAATCCTTTAGGAAAAAAAAAGTAAAAATGTTATTTTGCCTATATTGGCCCCCTACTAGTAAGCCTGATTATGTTTCCCAAAGTGTTTTATATGAAGACCAGTAGTCCCTAAAACTACTATGTGGCATTACTATATTTCTCATTAGATTTTAGTTTTAACTGATGAAGATAAAAGAGAGGAGAAAAGAACAGTAATAAGAGAGACCATGACACAGAAGCTGCTGTTATTGTCTTTCATAAATAATCATAAATGGCTACCTTAGCATCATTTGTCATAAATTATTATTTATAACCATAAATCATATATGCACACCAAGAAGGAAGTTGAATTTACAGATGTCCAAATGGGAAAAGTGGAACATACCAGATATTTGTAAAATAATGGATAATGGAAAATAATCATAATGGATCCAGCCAGAGTCCATATCTTTGCTTATTCAAATATTACTTCTCATTTCTTCCATAGCAGAATGTTTTACATGAACAAAAACACACTCCTCAACCATGCTTGCAGCTAGATGTGCCCTTGTGACTACATCAGGAAACATGGGTTATGCACAGAATGAGGGGGCAACCTTGAGGCCATTTCTAATTTAGGAACAAGCTTTTCACCTTGTCCATGCACATCATCACCTCCTCAGTTGGTGGGATGCACTTGAAGTGATGATCTAGCATCTCCATTCAAATAAAGGCAATGCCTTAGGAAGTCACAGACTGCAATGTTGGTGGAACTTGTCTCTAACTGATCATACTGGAACAGACTTACTTCAAACCACTGCTGACCTCACTGAACATTAAATCTCATTGTTACAACAATTCAGTTGACTATTGAAATCAGTATGTAGAAGTGTGGAACTGCCATTAAAATCCCTAAACATGCTCTGACTGGTTTGGCTCAGTGGTTAGAGTGTCAGCCCATGGACCAAAGAGTCTCGGGTTCGATTCCCAGTCAAGGGCACATACCTGGGTTGCAGGTTCCATGCCTGGCCCCATTGGGGTCATACAGGAGGCAACCAATTGATGTATCTCTCTCACACCAATGTTTCTCTCTCACTCCTTACCTCCTTTCCATGCTAATTAAAACATAAATTAAAAATTATTCTCTGGTGAGGATTAAGAACAACAACAAAAAATCCCCAAACATGAAGCATTAGCTTAATGGGAAGGTGAAAGTGAAAGGAAAAAGTACAATAGGATAGAAAGCTGATCTGATGACCATGATTATGACATTGCCGGTGAAAACTTGGACGTCAGGATCGAGGCCTGCATATACATTGGCATCATGAGGGAAAAAAACTGGACAAATCCTGTGAATAATTCTTGCTCCTTTTAGGAAAGTTTATAAAAGATGTAAGCTCAAATAAGAATGGGTCATTTTTCTAGAGGAAACAAAAAATGAATAGAACTTTGCTCAGGTAAGTTATCTCTGCCTGATTTGGTGTTAGTTTAAAATGGGAATGGATTCAGAAAGTTGGGACTTAATGGGATTAGAGAAACAGACTGTTTCTGTATTTTAATAGCAAGAGATAATGAGTGTTGCCTAGATATGCTCTCATATCTTCCCATTAGACCATGAGCCTTAGAACAATTCTCAGGTCCCCAAACATGCACCAAACGAAACATGATGCAAAAATTGTGAAGTCCCCAAAAAGGTCATTGCTCTTCTTTACTCCATTCACATAAGGTCATTTATTCATTAGGATAAGAAAGAACCTTCCAATAAATCTAGGAAAATTTCCAGAAAAGAGAACCAAGGCTTCCAGATGTACAAATCAGAAAACTTATTTCAATGCTGTTGGTTAGGTGTCATTTAATTTCTGCTCGGCAGGATTGTGTAATTGTTATTTCCTATGGATTCTTCAGAATTTCCCAAAAGAAGATTCTATTGTAGTTATTCGATTCCTTTTCCACAACTTCATATTGGGTATTTTGGAAATGGAAGAGGGCAGGAAAGGCAATTTTCTGTTTTATAGTTCATCAGACTGCAAAAGAACCGTATCAAGACCCAATGTAGAGGTTGGCATATTTCCCAGAGAGTCTGTATTTTAAGCTGGTTACAGATACTGGAACTGAGCCTGGGTTTTCTCTGTTGGACAGAAGGTAGATATCTTTGTTTGCTTGCTTGTTTGTTTAACAAGAAGAGGATGACTAAAAGTTGGGCCATAGAAGACTTCCCGTTGTTCCCTCTAAAATTCATTTGTCTCTTCCATAAGAGAGACTGTCCTTCTCAGGACTTCATTTCCTAGTCTTTCTTTCACCTGAGAGAAGCCATATACAGAGTGCTGTGTACAAATTATTCAAGCTTTGCATAAAAGGAAATTCCTTGTCTTCTAGTTCTTTTCAACTTTCATGTAAATGTCTGGAAATGCCAATGATTGTAGCCACTGTGGAAGTTTAATGTTAATGATGGTGCAATGGACCGAATCTTTGTATCCCCAAAATTCATGTGTTGAAATCTCAATCCTCAAAGTAATGGTCTTAGGAGATGGGGCTTTTTGGAGTAATTATATCATAAGGGTGATACCCTCATGAATGGGATTAGTGTTCTTAAAAAGAGGGATCCCAGAGAGCTCTCTAGTTCTCTTGAGATAGGTTAAAGTAATAAATATTAATGCTGCAAGTAAGTACAACTAGATTAATATTGTGAATATTTTTAAACTATTTCCTCTTCATTTATTCAATAAAATTTGTTGAAAACCTCTTATGTGCCAGACACTATTCTATGTCTGAATATGGCAGAAAAAAAATAAAGAAGTAAAATAAGCTAAGTTAAATGGTTATAGGTACTGAATAGAAAAGACTAAAGCTAGAAGGGGAGCATCAAGTGTTGGGATAGGGTCAATTATAGTCAAAGTGTCAAAAAGGCTCTAGTGACAAGGTGATATTATTGAGCAAAGACCTGAAGGAGGTAAAGGAGGAAGACCTTGAAATTCAAAGGAAGAGCATTTCAGGCAAAAAGAAAACACAAAGACCTTAAGGTAGGGGTGTGCTTAGGGTTTTCATGGAATGACAAGACAGCCAGTGTATCAGGGCAGAGGTAGAAGGTTGGGAGAGCAGGGCAGCTGGTACAGATCCCTTTCCATGCCAAACCCTCCGTGCAGTCTTTCCAAGGCTGTATGTATCTTGAGAGCTCATGTCCCTCTTTCGCTGCATTCTACACCTTTGCTGTCAGATCTATTCCCAAGA